AGTGACCAGAGTATGATGCAAGGCAGAAGTGGAAAAGAAGTGTACATAAAAGGAACACAATAAAAGCAATCCTTTGTGGTAGTGGTAGTGCTAATTATACTCATGTGAAATGAAAGCAAAAATCTTTCGATCCAGGCTAAGATTTGTAATTCTAACCACAACCTTTTATAGATCATTAGTGTACAGGAAGTCACAGCAAAATCAAAAAGACTCATTTGTGCCATGAGAAATGGGCTTTTTTTCCTATGATCACATCTGTAAGTGTCTGACAACTAGAGTTTGCACCACAGACAGTTTAAAATGGGAGTCTAGAAATGGACCTTTGTAAGACATTTATAACACAAATATCAAATCTAACTGGAGAAAAAGTAATGGTAACACCCCAACTTTACAGGCTGAAAAATACAATTTTCACTTCTAACAGTTCCATTACTTTCGCAACAAACACCAAGAACGCTTTTTTGCAATGAACACTGACAACCCTTATAAACCAATGCAATTCAGATCATACACAGCTCAAGAAAAATCCACTGCTGCTCCACCTAAGGAGCAAACTTCCCCATCCTCCCTACTCAAAGAAGGCCCTGTTGGACCACAATCTAAACTCAGTCCCTCCTCATCCCCCAGGTCACCCTGTGAACTTCAATATCGTTGGTTAAAAGGCTAGGATGTGCCTCCAAAACATAGAATAAAACCACATTTTTGTGCGTCAGGATCTTGGTTCTGACCCTGCTCCTGTCAACGTCAATGGCAGAGAATTCCCACAGACCTGGATGTGACTGTGGTTGAGACATGGACCTCACTGCCTGTCTTAATGGGCTGCTCTGAGAAAACCTGGTAGGTTTGCCTCACTCCAGGTACACTTTCCTCTGCAGAAAGTAAACAGTCCGTGCCATTAAAGGGAGCACAACGTGCGACTCATGTTTTACTAAGCTCTTCTTGCTCTAGGACATGTGTTAGGCTCCCTACCATACCACTGCAACCTCAATTAAGTTGACAGAGGCCTTATTTCCCCGTTACTTTGTCTCATGATCTTGACCCTCTGGTTCCCCAACATTAGCATTACGGGGGAGTTTGTAGAGAAATGAAAGAACAGCAGAAAAAAACCCCAGAAATAAGCTTACCTATGAAATAGGCCAGTAGGATCACCAGCGTGACTGAGATGACAATGGCACTCAGGGCAGCGCATTTCCAGTTACAGTACTTATAGGATTTCTTCAGGTTAAAGGCAGGCCTAGAGAAGGTACTTCTGGGGAGGGGCCTAGGGGGAGGTGAGTACACCGTGCTGGACGTCAAGGGATATCCCGGCGATGTTGTACAAAAAAGGGGAGAAGTGCCTCCAGGTTTGAAGAGGAAGTGCCTGAGGGAAGAAAGACCAACAGCAAGTGACTCCTCACACAATCAAAGCTGAGGGAGATGTGGGGTGGGAGGATGACGACTGCTGCCGGGACGAGGAAAGCAGCTCCACACAATGCTGGCTACCGACATGGATGGCATGCACGAAAGAGAAGAATAAAAATCAAAGACAAATCACACAGAATAAGGGAAAACAAAACAAACAAACAAAAAAATCACAGCGCCAACAATGCCACAGAGAACTCTTCAAGGGCAGGAGTCCCCTCTGTGGAAGAGCTGGCGTTAGAGTGAGATGAATACCCCAAGCACAGCTACGACAGACTGGTGGCACGGGCAGCACCGGGGGCCTGCTCACGCTCCCACAGAAATGCCCTTCGGAGACTGAAGAGGAGCGTAGGTCGGATTAAAGAAGGAAGGGCGTTTACCAATTCATTGATCACTGCATGAGAGCGTTTTTTGTATGGCATCGGTGAATGGAGATGGGGAAAGACAGCTTAAGCCATTCCATAGCACCCAAATTGTCACAGAGGGGAATATTCACACTGTCCCCGCCTGGCAAATTTAAGCGTCGGACAATGGCATAGCTAAAAGCATCAAAGTCCAGAATTCAAATCTTGTGTATCGCCAGTGGGGAGAGGCACCTGCTTCCAGAAAGCAGTCCAGAGCACCGCAGTTTGACGCCTACCTTTAAAAAGTGTGAATTACTGTCAAAGACAACAGTGTTTCCTGTCCAGTGACACATTGGGAGGCACCATATTTTGCCCATTACTACAAACGCAGCCTGAGAGCCAGCCTATGAGGACCTTGTGTGAGACTCATGAAAGTCAGCGCAAAAAGAACCCGCTGAGGTCCATGACTTCCTGAAATGAAATGTCCTAATGGGAGTTTCCCTCTGTGGGAATCTTAAACGAAAAGACTAATTTCGGTGGGACATCATGAAGTACAAAACATTCAAATTCCAGGAATGAAACTCGGGAAACAAATCTGACTCGTCTATCACCATGCTGATGTAAAACAAAAACGCAGCTTGTGAGGACCAAGAAACAGCCCCGGTGCAGTTTGCACCTTCTGCCATGGTTTATGAGGCCAGATTTGCAGCCAGCGTAAATGCAATCGGCATGGGGCCATGGGAGTCAGCCTAGCCAGTGGATTAGACCAGATGAAGATGTGACTCCTTTTTCCCCTTGAAGTCACTTGTGCAGTCACAGGGGGAAATGTCACATGCAGAAACATCACCGTGCAGAAAAGCCACTGATTCATGCAGTATAAAGTAGCATATAATTCTCAAAAATAGGTGTTTGTACTATTACAGACATGCTTTTATTGGTACTCTAAGCATGACTGCTGAGCATTAGAGAAAGACTCATTATTTCTACTATTGCTTTACATCAAAACATTAATTTTTACAAAGAGTCAGATACTATCCTGTGTTTTGGAAAGTAATTATTTAGACACAGATTATCTGTTCCGAGCAAAGAGGTACCTACAGTGTTCAAGTACAGCAATTAGAACTTCAATTAATGATGGCTACCAAATTACAAACTGCCAACACAAGGTCAACAGTTTTGGCACTAAGTGTCAAGCTAAAAGCTGCTTATAACTTAAAAGTAACGTGATCAAAAGTTAGGTAAAGATGCCAGAATGGGTGGTTAAGTCAAAATCAAAGGCCTAGCTTACATACACGACTGGTAGGCACTTGTAAGACAAGGTACATAAGAACATATCAGTTTAACAATGAAGTAACAGGCTGCCAGCATAATAACGATTGAAGATTTTTATGAAAATTAAATTAATCTTATTTTATATGGGAGTCAAAATTGCTGTAGGTACTTCTTACTAATGAAATTACTTTCAAAACAACAAGGGGAAAAAAGCAAATGGCATGCTGTGGCTCACTAGCATAATAATGAGTCTGCCATTAATATGTACAGGACACAGTGCTCCAAGCTCCAGAACCTCATTTTTGTAAAGCCATCTTGGAAGAGGCCAGCAATGGTGTTGCCCTTAAACAAAATTAATATGACCAAATGCTTTCATGCAAGGATCATAATGACTGTACAGTAAACAGGAAGACCACAGAAGAGTCACATACCCATCATTGTAAGCACCGTCATGTCGGGAGGAGGTGAGAATGTCCATCTCAATGAGGTTGTCCTGCAATGTCTCTAGGAATGTCTGCTTTGCTATGTTTCTACGTACATATGGAAACATGAATGAAGCCAGTGAGTCATGCATATATGAAGTGTGATCTTATAAACCACAATGGTTATAGTGCAGTTGTGCATGGAATTAGAATGATGGACCATATATTTATATGTATAAGGTGCTACACATATACATATATAGCTTTTAAGAATGTTCACGCCTCTATTTTTACACTATATATGTGCATATACATACATATAAGCACACATGCCCATGTGCATGTATAAAAAAAGCTGATGCCTTTGTTCATTTCACATTATTTATTGCCAGTGACACATGAAACCTTCTGAACTGGGGGACTCAAAAGACTAGATTTCAATCCTGCAACCTTGTTATCCTCCTGCATCTGTGTTACTGTTACTCTGAAAAGGCACAGCACAGTATCCATACCCCACTGTGGCCAATACCTTGGTAGTACAGTTCCATCTAACATCCTCATGGATTTCCAGTGAAAATCTGCCACTCCTTCACTTAAATTTCAGTTTTGCATTTGAGAATTTTTAAATTACCAAATTAATTAATTTGTTTTCCTTTGTGGAACAATAACTTGCTCTTTAGAACTTTCAAAATGCAAGTTTTGCTTAATAGAAATATTCCAAATAAAATCCTCTCGGTGATAAGCAAATTGAAGCTCGAAGAAGGTTATGCTGTAACTCAGATTCCAGTACCAGAGTATCGGCTATAATCTGGATAACATAGGCAATAGGCAAGATCCCTAGGGCCTGCATGTGAACAGGCCTGGTTTTGACTTTTGCATACAATAGCGGCATTTTGCAATATCTGGCCTCCGCAGCATGTAATCTGATGAATCACATTTTGACCTATATATGCTAAACTGTTTTGTACTTTTTGAGAATAGCAGCAACATAAAGAATTAAGTCAGAGGCACAGCTGGGAACAGACCGTGTCTTTCTCACCTTCAGGCTTGTTTCTCAAGACCTGGTAAAAGAACATTCTTCCCACCTTTTTTAAAAGAAAAAACAGTCCTGATTTTGCCCATGCCTGTTTTCAGCATCAAAACTGAATCTAAGCCTGAATATGAATAAATTCCCTGGCCAAAACTAGCCGAAGGAACATAACAGCATTGTGACACTTTATCCCTTATGCAGGATTAGGCGCTTACAGGATATAAGTGACGTGACGTGAACTCAAGCGAGAACTCCTCTGTCAGAGGAACTGGATTCAGGTAACATGCTATACCAAGAGAAACCAGCCCTGTCACACTATACAAACCTTGATACTCTCTCTTCTAAAATGTCCTCAACCTTCATTTCTACTTCCTCCTCTTCCTGCTGCTAATACCAGCACTTGGTATTAGCTCAACTCATGGCTTTTGAAGGCCCCTGGGCTGCTTTGACAGAACACATCTACTCCTTGATCTGAATGAAAGTAAAGTGACTCCTATTTACAGCTTTGGAGTAAAGTGGATCGACATGCATGAGCTGTGTGCCATAGCACTTGAGACATCAATCCGTCCCCAAGTGTTTGCGGCTTCCGCACATTCCCTGGGAATGCCAGAAAGGTTGGATGTTGAATTCAATGCAAAGAGAAGCAACATATGTGCATGCACTGAGCGTTTAATGGGTAAGAGGCAACATCTAGCAGCACACCAATCAATAAGAGTTCATCAGTAGTTAAAATCCATGTCAAATTGGTTCCATGAATTTCAGTTGTGGGATGTCAATAAAACAGAAGCGGGGAGGGTTATATAATCTGACAAGGTATGTATTTGTAACAGAGGGGTCGCCGGGTCACCGAGGTGACTAATGCATGACTGTCCTCCTCTCTGAAGTCTGGACAGAGTCTCTCCCTTGGAGATTGCCTGTGAATAGCTGTCTAGTTACAAACCACTCTCCCTTCTCATAATGAGTTGTGGTGGCAGAATCTGACCTTACGTGATTACCACATGAAATTTCCCGGGAATGGAAGTCTCCTGAAAGCTGTTGGTTTGTCAACTAAATGTCCATCTAGCTGGCATTTATTTGCTCCCGCAAGGTCAAATGTAAAGGAACAGAAAGGAGGCTGCAGAAGAAGGAAGAGTGAAGAATAAATATGGGGGGAACTGACTTACCTGTCAGGAGCGACTGCTGAGCAAAGATCTTCTCATCACAACCTTGATAATATATTGCTTTTAAAGCAACAAAGAAGGGAGCAGACAGGAAAAGAAAGGGGAAGGAGAAACAGAGAAAAGGGAGTAAAGGGAAACTAATGAAAAGGAGGGAGAGAAGAGGAGGGGCTCTTCCTCTTGCAACATGTAAAGTTCTCAGATATAGGATGTTTCTCATGTCAGTTTTACACATGTGCTACACACCTCTGCTTGCCCTTTGCATTACAGGATGGAAATTTCCAGGCAGTGACAAACCATCCTCAATTCCCAGTTCTGAATACTGCCTGGAGTCCACGGCAGTCAAAATCAAGCCTCTTCAAACCCTGAGGTGCTTAAATTCTATACATGTAGGCATGTTTCACAGCCTGTGACAATCCCTATTTAAAAGAAGTAGCTTTTTCTTTGTGTTTTCTCTCTCTGTTGACTAATATGAGATTTTTGAAAAAATGGATATTCAACAGAAATACAATTCCATTTCTGACATGAGATTACTATAATCTCCTATTGCTGGACTTCAAAGGCCTTAATTCTTGGATTAATGTCTCTCGGTCAGGATTTATTTTCTTACATATTGGACATTTTATTCTCTTAGGTGGAGGTCTTTTTTGGTTCTAAAAATCTTTGCAATGAGGAAGGTCGACTTCATGGAAGAGGTGGAACTGGGCATCTAAGTTTGCTGAACAGCTCTGAAGCTCCGTCTTTTATGTCTATACAATTCCCACTGAAGGAAAAGGAAGATCTCTGCATTGTTGGAAGAGCAGACTATGAGAGTGGAGATTTGTCACAGATTTACTGATCATCTATGCAGCACAGCCTCTTTGCATTATGACACCATTATAACACATTTTATTTTCTTAATGTTGTTTAGTGAAGGAACAAATGCCTGTCAGCCATGCTCTGTAAATGTACTCATTTGCTGTTTGTCATAAAATTACACATTCGTTTCCAACATGTTTATTGTCTGATGGGTCACTGGGCAAAATTGTGCCGTTCCAACCAGTGCGTCAAAAGCCACAACATCAGTTTCAAAACGACCTGTGTAATAAAGTGGTTAAATTGAGGATCAGTTACAAATGTGACTGATTTGTGATGCCAGTAAAATCATCAAATTATGCAGAAGGATCTCTTCACTCAGGTAGACCTCCAACATTCAGTCTGGTTAACAGCAATAATGTGACCAACTCAGCTTGCAGAAAGAACAGTCTGCTTCAGATCTTGAAAAATTTTCATCCACAATGATTTTGTGGAGCAGAAATGAGGATAGTCTTTAAAGATGTACTCATTTACAATTTAACAGGAACAGTCCAGATGAGCCAGATAATTGTTCTGGCTATAAACTCCTTCATTTATTAAGATGCGGTAGGGTTGTCTCTCCATCTCCCTCTCTGACTGCCACCAGAACTGGACAAACGGGGGCAGGATGTTTTCAGCAAAGACCTTTTATCTCTGACATTCCTCCATTGATCCACCAGCAAGGACGTTCCTTCTCAATTGTAAGGCGGTGGGTTCTGAGAGACTCCAGTCAGATGTGAGGATGTCTTAGCACTATTAAAACAGTATAATTGTCTCTTCTCCAAAGAATTGACAACTCAGTTTAGAAAAAGGCACAGGGCTTCCTCCAGAATTAATAAAGGATTATTCACAAAAGGGCTGCAGGAGTGGAGCCCAAGTATTTTTTAATGTAAGTTTTTTTGGGGAAGTTGGTTTGTTTGTTGTTTTTTTTCAAGAGAAATAGCACATAAAAATCACTGCTTGGGTATATATGCTCAAGAATTAGTAACACAATATAATCACTGAAACTGTTGCCAAATCACACTTGCAGTACTTGCTTATAATTTTGTCTTAATCTTTTGGATCCAGCTTCTTAGTTGGGTCTTTTTAATCAAGCAGTCACAGAGAAATTAATTATCCATAAACTCCATAAAATGTTACATTGAGGTCTTTGGAAGTTTGGAAGTTTCAGAGGGCCAGCAGACACAGCTCACTTTCAAAAGATCAACAGACACATACGTTTTTAAAAATTGTTTCCTTAGCAGAAGGTGGCAAAACTGGGTACATTTTGTCCCAGGATACAGACACAGCTATCGCTGACCTCAGTGGGATTCCCACAGGTGCTGAAGTGACAAATTTGGCTGCTGGCTCAGTTTTCAGTTAGTATATAGTTTTTGCTGTCTGAAATATTTCTTGTTGGTTTGAGAAGGAAAGACAAATGAGGGAAAAAAGGCAGCTAAGTGCACAATGTTAAGCCGCAAGACTTCTCTCCAGACTGAAAAAGGTGCCATGTACAGTGGCTAATGACTCCAGCATCTCCAGTGGTTTCTCAACAGCAAAGGAAATGGTGAAACAAAACCTCTGGAGAATGCAAAAGCTGAGTTTCAAGTGGGACAGCAAGAAGTAGATGGACTCACCATCAGATGGGAGGACTGACGCTGAGAGACTATGCCAACTCCTTTTTCCAGAACCTACATAGAACCTAAGCAAAACTATGAACTAGAAAAACTCAGTGCACCCTTGTCACACTCTTCATGTGTTGCATAGGTGGAAAAGAATTTAAATGCTAAATTTAAACCAGACATCATTAATTGACCATTGCCCTGCTATCCAGTGTTTCATGCTTGCTGGAGCAATGTTGTAGGACAGCAAAATGCAGCAGCTGACCTCTCCTCATTAGGTAAAACAAGATCAACCTTTCCAACGATGTACTACAAAAGTATCTGCTTGACGAGGCAGAACTAGAAAGATAAATCTTTTCAATATATTGACTGATTTCAGTTTCTTAAATAGGATATTGATTTATCCTACTACATAAGAAGAAAAGACATTAAAGGAAAATAAAAGAAAGAAAACCAAGAACTTTTTAATCTATGATCCTGATTCCAATTTTAAATGAGGAAAATATCTTATGAGCAGCTGTTAGAGACAGCATTTTTAGTTTATGAAAGAAGAGCAATTTCCTCTACTCCTAGCCCAAATAAAAAGACACAAGGAATAATAAATACAACTCAAAACCAAAGAGCAGTCCACAAACTGAACGGCTAGCTATACAGATGTGTGTATTTTCCATAACATCCTTAGCACACACTGTCAGAACATTGTAAAGTACTAAAGAAAATGACCTACCTAGTCTCCAGCGGGATGTTACTGTTAAGTAACCAGTTGTCCTGAGCATGGGCTGGCTCTTGAGTGCTGGCTGGTTGTTCTCCCGAAAGAGAGTGGTCCGTAGGAGCTGGGCTGGGGTTGCTGCGTGGAGTGAAGTTCCCTCTGTTTAGGGAATTGATGGAAGCCGCATGATGTTGATTTGGGGTGTGAGCATGTGATATTGGAGGTGGTGGAGTTCTAAGTCTCGAATGATTTTGAAGATTTGGAGGATGATCTAAAACATAAGTAAAATATTTTTAAGGTTCATGATTTGAGTTGTTCCATACTGCACTCATTTCTGTGCAGGCACTTCTATAAAGTATGAAGGCAGCGATGCCGCATATCCTCAGTCAAACTCAAAAGGGTAACGTAGCCTTGTTCCATATGCTCTAACGACACACACATTGATCCCCCAGATGGCTAGAAAACTCGTTTGGTTTCATGCACAAAAGTTATGAAAACTTAAAGGACTGCAAAAAGGCTGTCCTGACAGCCAAGTTAACTCCGATGAACAACTGCAGGTTGCAAACTGCAATCTATCTGTGACACTGATTTGTGATAAAGCATGAAAAATACAGCCAGGCTGGATAGACAGTACTTTAGAGCAATTTTATGAGGGATATACAGCTGCCAGTAAAGTTTGTTCTGCCTGTTTTGCCTGAGAACTTTCAATAGTTAAGTCAACAAGAAGACTGAGAATACATTTAATCACAGACTGAGTTTAGGGAAAACCATAAAACTGTGTCAGGGTTATACAATTCAGCAAAATCCAGTAGTTTGTATTGTTAGAGACGTACTCAAACTGAGCAAAAAATGCATGTGGCATAAAAATCTGAGGTGTCAGGAAAATGAAGCAACGTGCGGTGAAAAAAGATGTAAAGATCAGTGATATGGCTACTTTGAGTAAAACTGAAAGTATTTGTTAGCCAAGAGGCTGAGGGAGGTAAATTGAGGAAGGCAAACATTTAGGAAAGCCCAACCTAGTGCTGATAATTGGTATTTTTAGTTTTTTAATTAACCGTGAAGGATTTTTTTTGCATGTTTCCTGGAAATGAAGAAAAACTAGAATATTTGATGGAACTGGAGGGAGACCGACAGTTCAGCATACTTGATATGGGATACAGGAAACTTATTCCTCTCGGATTTAGTAGGTTTATGCTTGCAAGTCATTAATACCCAATACTTATCCAATGCCTTATCTGAAAAAAAATGTATGTTGTATCAATCTAATACTTACCAAACAGACTTCTGTGTTATGAAAAACTAACACTCATTTACTCTCTAATTAGAAAGCCCAGAACTGAATGAACTGTACACAGTCCTAAATTACAATGAATGGTATCAAAATTACCATGACATTTAATGCCACTTTTGAAATCTGGACTAGGACCTGGATTCAGGAGAGGAACAGGGAAAGCATTTACAGTATCTCTGTAGTGTCTTGGATATTTAGACACAAAAGATAAAATACAAAGATGTGTGAGATACATCCCATCCTTTCCCTTCTCACCCTGTATTGACTCAAACTACTTCACCATTAACTACAGCTGATTATACCAAAACCTTAGGATGGTTGAGGTGATCTAGCAAAAAATACAGGTGGTGTTAATTACAAAGGTGCCACTACTCTGTTGGAACATGTATCTACCTCTGGCTTTCTTAGGTTAGACATGGGACCATGGTTATATATTCCACGGGGAGAAATGAGTGCTTTTAAGGTCCAAATCCATTTTACCCTATATATTCTACCCTACACCTTAAAAGTGCTATTCTCTCTCTTGTATATCAATACAATACAGAATAACCATCTCAAAAAAAAAAAAAAAAAGACATCCATACTAGTCATCTACAGTTGGACAGATTCATCCCATGAATCTAATGGAGCGTTCAGAAGTCTGACTTGGCAAAACTCACCCAAAATTAATAATGCCATACTGGACTCTGAGCTAATGCTAGCTAGCCCTGATAAATTCTGTACATCAGCCAGCAAACTAAAGGGAAGGACAGAGCAATGACCATGGACTGTACGGATGTGGGATCTTAGAATCAAACCAGGTCTGACGTCAGCTCTGCAGCACCATGTGAATCGAGGCATCCAACCATCCTTGGACTGAATATTATTGCAGACTGTCACCTAACTGAAGCCCTGCCCACAGAGTTAATAAAAACAACAGTAGAAGAATCCTACTGCTGGCTTAGTTAAATTAGTGACTGAGCTTCCCACTCAACAGACAGCAGCCATCGTTGCCTGGCTAAGCCCCCTTTGCTGAGACGTAGAAAGAAGACGGGAAGATAGGCGCAGAACGCACCAAAACCCGCAGTCTCGGGAGCATGGCTGCTTGCAGACAGAGAAAGATAGGAACAGCGTATTAATTCCAGGCTGAGGGAGATGAACGCAGAGGATTTCCAGCTTTTAGGGCTGTCAGTCTATCGCCGTTCACAAGAACTTAATTCATCCCAGAGAAAATGACTTGTCTAATCAGCAGTAACATACCAAAGGTTTCCCAGACCAGTCATTCGAGCTTTCATTACAACTGATGCCTCAGATGAATACTCCGTGGAAACGAGAAAGGGGGGGCCAAAGGCTGAATCCTGGGACATGCAATAGGTGCTTTGTGAAGCTCTCCTGCTATCGGTTCACTTTCCCTACTGGAGACACCATTTTCCGACTGTGAGTCAGAGCCTCCTTCCAAAGATCTGTTATGTAAATTCCAATTTACACCCTATTATTGCAGACACATTGCAGATGCTATTATGGATAATGCTTTGGAATCAAGCAAAAATGTATCATTTTCATTCTCAATTTGCATACCCTCTGTGATTTCCTTACTAAGTAAAGACAGCACATCTATCCTACTCTGGTCTATGTGATTTTTCACAGGATTTTATAGCCTGTATTTCTTTTTCTAAAATGTAGGTATCTTTTCCTCCCAGAATATTTTTAATTTTATCCATATATAAATTCTGAACACTTATGTCAAGTCTGAGCATTACTGAATTTAATATACCTTGACTAGGATTAGCAACTATTTCCCTTGAGTTACTATCCTTTTTCTTCCAGTTCTTTTCAAGTTAAGGAACATTAGGAAAAAAGGTGTAGATGAAAGCACAAGCTATGAAATCTTCCTACTGAAAATTACTGCATCTCTGCAGGATTTTATTGATGTGACAAAACTATTGAGGCTCTTACCCTCTGTGGTCACCAAAGATCCTATGGGATTTGCAAAGAATAAGGGAATCCCACAAAGCGAATTCCGTCTTGATTTCCTAAAATTGCAGTTGCCCCCTTATTTGAACATGCTCTTTGTAACTTGTTCCGTAATGCGTGAGAGATATAAAGTGTGTGGTTATATTTCCCCACAGGAAGGAGAACCTTAATGCTGGCTGCAGTGGCTCTCTTACATCATGTATGTCCATGAATCTTATACAGTGGGAAGATGCTCTGATTATCCTGCTATATATTATATATAAAAGCTGTATATTTATAGCTGCTTGGGCAGCACTAAATTTTTGCAGATCCCACCACATGGGTGGGATACAGGGGAAGTCATATACAGATTTCTACATCTCACAGCAAGAACCACAGGAATTCAGAAGACTTTAGAGAGGCCTCTACACAAATTGTACAAGGTTCCCCAAGACCTTTCTTAAGCAACTATAAGATGGTTAACTGTGACTATGTCAAAGTTATCTTGGCTTACTCAAAATGAGATAATTTTCAAAATTTTCCTTCTCACAGTTTTCCTCTTTGGTTTCAAAAAAGACATGGAGTTTATCATTCCTCTTCTACTTGTTGGCATAAAAAACCTGACATACGCTATTCAGAAGGAACAGCTAAGTTAACAAAGCACTGAGAAATAAAAAAAAAAACCCACTTTGTAAAACACTGCCCCCCCCCTCAAATTTCTAATAGCCTTCAGAGTCAAGCAACACAGCCTATGGGATGATTTTTGCCTTGGAGGGACAGCAAAAGAGATCTGTCAATAACAAAGGAGTCCTCACAGCCTTTGACGTCAGGTGACAATGAAAAAGGGTCCCAGTGATAAAGTTCTACATTTCTAGAAGATACACCGTGGAAGCCAAAATAGGGCAGAACTTCATGAACACCCCTCATTTCCTCTAATGGGTGTCCAAAGTATATCAAACATGAAATACATCAGTATTCAAAGGTAACGAAACACTGGAAATCTGATTATGAAAAACACCGGTAGAAATCAAGTTGCCATTGTGCTGCTTTCCTGTTTGTTTTTTAACATTAAAATGTCATTGACTAACACTGGTTTGGTAACCACGGATAAAGCAGAGCTGAAAGATAACTCAGCTAATGAAGCTTGTACTTGGCACATATTAGAGAGCCTTGACAGAATCCTGTGAATGAAGAACTGAATAAGCGTGAACCATAAAAAGATTACCAATGAGGAGCTAATATGCCAAAATTTGAATAAAAGGTCTGAACCCCATGTTCCTTTTTTTCCCTTAATCTTTAATGAGTAGTACTGTTTTGAAATTAGTCTGTAACAATTACACTTTCTGATTCATTAGGTTTTGGGATTGTGTTCAGGGCAAATGTGCTAACCTCAGAGTGAAAAATACATCCTCATCTTTTTTTCCCAGCTTCTCCTGTTCCTCCACACATTTGTCATTTGTATGTCTGCTCATATTCAGACGGCCTGATGCCTGACTGGTGTCTGAGTTAGGTACAGGAAATATTTCTCTTTACTCACTGTATATAGTGCCAGGTGGAATGAATCACTCAGTGCTCCCTTGAACTTAAGCTCCACAGTAGCTGTGATGACTAACTGGTAGTGTCGCTTTGGGCAGTCGTGCCTGTACCCACACACAGAGAAATCCCCCCCACTGCACAGGAAACAATCTTTTTTTAAAATAATGAACTCTGCATCTGACTGACAGGGCAACTAAGAGCCTTGCTTTGGCTCCAGGACCATGTTTCAATCTGCTGCAGATGTACACTCACAGCACTCACAGCACCAGCCAGCTGAAACAGCTTCATAGGCTCCCCATCCCTTTGGGTGCCACTGGCTATGGGAGCTGGGGTGCTTTCACTCGTTAATCTGATGAGACCCCTAAGGTCAAGTGGACTATGATAGACTGAATTGGGTCTTCCCCAGCACCCTTGTAGGGGGCACAGAGACTTTGCCATTAAAAGTAAGACAGTTTGCCAGAAGCAGCTTCTCTATCAGACACGTGGCAAGCCAATGACGGCATCTGCAAAAT